TGCTACTTGGAGGGAGGGTGGGCTGCACAAAGCTAGAACCCGTTGTCCAGCAGCAAGCGGATCCCCAGTGGCAACCGCAGAAAGGTGTCCATCGACTGTTCTTCCTGGGAAGAAGCAACAGCTCAAAAATGTCTGATTCAGACCACCTGTACCAAAGACGTCAAATTTTGACTTTTCAAGATTTCTCTGAACACGGTCACGGTTGACAAGATGCATGGGTAGCTGTTCTTGGGTGATAGCTTGGGGCCTTAGGCTTATAGTCAGATCTCTTTATATATTTCAGCGCAAACGGGGGACGTGTCTCAGGGCGATCTCACTGCTGTGAATTCCAGCTGGGTGCCAAGTGGACCTGAGCCATGCTGCGTTTTTCACACATACGACCCTGCATCACTCCATGGTTGACCCCGGCAAGCTGTCGCTGGAAACAAGTGCAGTGACACGGTTCCATTTTACAGTCAAGTGGGTTTCTTCTTTGCAGTTCCCTTCGAAATGCAATGAACAAGATGCCACCTGTAGGTCAACCAAGGTCATAGTTCAGACATGTTCAGACTAGACATAGACGAACCCATTTCAATAAGTCTTGTTCAAGTTTTACTCCGGGTTGCAAAAGACCAACTCGGAGCGTCAAGTTATTCAACACAAGCATACTCTTCCTGCTTACGCCCAAGTGACAAAAATTGTGAGGCCCCAGTTTAGAAACATATCTACATCGTCCATATACATGTTTGATTTTTGACTGGTGATAGGGTTGATTTCTGATTTGATTGTTCAGTGTGCCCAGGTGATAGCGAGGTTGAGGAGATTCAGCCGTGCTGCTGGCATGACTTATGACTGGTGGTGTTTGACATGGGAACTGCACCGGCCGACAGAGTCCGATAGAGTGAAAATGCGCATGCTGAGTTCCTCCCTCGGCGGCCAGGCCACAAGCGGCTTACAGGGCTTTTCCAAATGACCAGGTGAGGGATGGTGAGGTCAACACTTGGACAAAAACACCGTCAACCGGGAAAAGGCAGCCTGTATTGTCATGATTTCATGTGGTCTTGATGTTGTTTGTAAACTTTTGACTCATGTGCTCTTTTGCAGGCTTCGCCCCATTGGAATGGCACCGCCCAGCGGTTAGGTACTTCTGCTCAGGTGCGACACGGGCCGGTTCACGGTGTGTTACGATGCCAAGGCGATCGATCCAAAACGGGACCGGGCAATCGACCCAGCCGAGCAGATTCTAGCACTGCACATGCAACCACAGACATACATAATCACAACTTGTATAATGCTGGAATCGGATCCCGATGGTTGTTTGTATTGTGTACCCATCATTTTCTGCACTGCATCGGGCCGCCTTTTGAAGACTACTTGTTGAGTCAGCCTGTGGATACACAAAGACCTAGCTGGAGCTACGAGTCAAAGGATGCAGCAGCCCTCGCCTGGCCTCTTGTGAGAAGGTTTTTCGGACTCAAGACCAGCCTAATCTGCCAAAAATCTTTCCATCTTGTATTCTTTCTTTAACTGTAACTCATTCTTTTGTTGAACTTTTGCGGCCTTTTCAGCTTGGTGAGGTAGCAAGCGCGGTGGCCGTGGTACTGGGCAGCATGTTTTGCTTGCAAGCATGTTTTGGTGCATGTGCATACTCAGGGTAGGAAACGGCGATTCTGGGAGCTGAATTAGGGCACAACTTCTTGTGGTACAGCTCAGGTTGTGTGAACGACGGGTTCAGGAGATAGAATGTGTGATTGGCGATTTGTTGGAGTGTCGGAGATGAAAAGAAGCTGTTGACATATGGTTGAACATTTTTCTTGTGCCAGGCAAATGCTGCCGCAACAGCCGCGCTGCCCGGACAGCAGAAGGAGAAGGACAAGGAGGTCCAACAGCAGCCCCAACAGCACCAGCAGCATCACCAGCATCATCAGCAATCAACGCACTCGCAAAATGCGCACGCATCACCTCACAACAATGCATCGAACAACTCTCCGCAGCAGAAGAATCATTCACAGAACAACAAAGGCCAATCCATTGCCTTCCAGCCCTCATCAATTACACAAGATCCGGTGCCTAACCTGCATGTGAGCTGGATTCATCAGTCAGCTTTGCACCAACATGGGCAAAGGAATCCTGATTTCGGTTGAAGACATGACTGTAAGACCAACTAATTCTCACCTGCTTAGCACCGATCAGGTTGCAGCAGTGGTGCCCGATTCACAGTCTGCCTTAGATGAGCACGGGAGCCCCAGACAGCAGCCACCATGGCTCCATGATAATAAGCTCTTAGTAGCTCCTGGGTAGCAAGGGCATTACTACTAGTAGCAAGGACGCTATTAGGTGGAGGCCATTGCT